AAATGTCAACCATTAAAAGTGAAAAAATAAATAGTTGAGATTTTAATGTGTAAGATTTTTGTATAAATGGATCTTTACTCCTATTTAATTATTAAGTTACATAAAGAAAATAAAAGTTAATCTTAATTTTAACTACTAATCAATTAAATTAATACAAGTAACATTGGTATTAACAATTACATTATCTTTCTTGTTTTTTTATATATGACTTAGTAACTAAACGATATACTATCAATTGTACCATTACTACGCATGTTAGGGAATTAATTATAAAAACAGAAAGTAGTACTCTTTTTGAAAGTAAAAAGACTAAAAGATGTGGCTATTTTAACTTGATTTTTCTAATATTTATATTTTAGGTATAAGTTAAGAATATAATTATTATATTTTTTTAATATTAATTAGTATTAAAGTATTAAAAAAACTTTTATTTAAGTAACTGTACAATTAAAATACTCTACATGGCACTGCTAATGAAATTATTGATAATTTTTATATTTTTAATATAAATTAATATTAAAAAGATGTAAAACAGGTTAGAAAAACATTTTTTAACATTCCCTCACTAGTGATTTAAACCACAACATTCCTCTTTATTAAGCATAAGGCCTGGCAAACGGGCGGGTTGGGTCAAGTCAAATGACAAATTATGCGAGTTGGGTTGTAAGCAGATTGTAGGTAGGAGGTTGGAAAAATTCAATCCTAATCCAACCCTAATGAGTTATGGGTTAATTCGCGGGTTAATCTTATTTTCATTATTTATAATTATTTTTATTAATTTTATTATATATAAATAAAATTACATATATCTAAATCTAATTAAAGTATTGTAACTCATTAACACTAAGTAAATTATAGTTTCAACCACGAACATTTAAATTAAAAAAAAATTAAAAAGTTATAAATAATAGTAAGTTGATTAACAATATTAAACTTAAAATATTTAAATTTCTTAGAAAATAAAGTTTTAGTTTTGCAATTATCTTGAAACATTAACAATGAGTTTAAGCTCTTTTTTAATGATGAAATTACTCTTCTAAGAACATTTTTCGCTAAATTATTATGTTTATATTCTAATATCACATCTTTAATATTTTTAGTTGCATTATCATTAAATTCATGATACTTAATAATTAGATCAAACCCACATAATTTCTAGAGAAAGAAGAAAAAATTATGATGAGTAAACACTCAAAATAAGTTCAAAACCATTTAAATAATGAAAATGAGGTTGAAGAGTATGAATTAATGAAAATAGTTATCAATAGGAAAATTAATTAAGAATGATAAGAATAATATTTTTAAAAATAATAATAATAAAATAAATGTTAAATCCTCAATTTAATTTCTAAATTATTGTACGAACCCTCGATTTGATTCATGAACTAAAAAAATCCATGATTATATATTTAACATATATTTTAGTTCTATCTATATAATTACTAATCATTTCTTTTTCTTTTCTTGAGATTGGAAAAAAATTGAATTATGAAATGAAAATTAACGTTTAATAAGTTTTTTAACTAAATAGTTAATTAGTAAGAAAGTTTTTTTTAACTAAATAGTTAATTAGTATTAGATTCTGTTAAAGAAAAATAGAAAAAAAAATATAGAAAATTTTTAATTTTAATTTTAATTTTTTTAAAGTTAAGTCTATCCAACTCAATTTGAAACCTGTGTGGGTGAGTCAAGAACCAACTTCTTTAACTCGACACTTAAAATAATCCAATCCAAACAATCTAAAATTCAGGATAACCCAATCCGAACCCATTCAATTTGACCTGTTTGCGAGGTTTAGCTCAAACCAACGTTACTTGTGTATGTCCAATAAGTCTTTTATATATATATATATATACATATATATTTAATAGGAAATACGTTACGGCTACAACTAGCGTCGCTACCGTTTCTCAATGGTATTAATTAGTACTAATCATTTACAAAAAAAAAATTATGAAAAACGGCAAGAGATATTTCCAATATGATGTGCCAAACGAGTCCTATGAAAGCGCCAAGTTTTTTAGCTCAATTGGGTAGTATACTCAATATTTTAATTAGTATTAAATTTAAATTATGATATAAACATGTAAATATTACTTTTTCTCTTCTCCAAATTGTAATCGCTCAAAAAAAAAAAAATAAAGAAAAGAAAAAACGAATCCTATAAAAAGAGATATTTCCAATGTGAAGTGACTAAAAAACGTTCTTTTGATTTTGAAGAGGGAAAAAAGCATGTTGGTCCTGTTCAGGCCTAAAATGGCATTTTCATCATTAATGAATGCTGAGGAAAACGGGAAAAAGGGGATTCTTATTAATGATAAAATTGTCATTTTTAGTCCAGACTAACATGTTCTTTTTACCTGGTCTAAATTCAAAATACTTATTCTCATGCATCAACAGAAAACCAACACAATATAAATGCTAAACTTAGCAGATCCAGTGATTCTACCTCCTAGGACATTTACCTTAGACAAGAACCCTTTCTTCAAAATAGTTTATATTGGGTGAGGATAGCTAAATAATTGTCCAAATCTTTTCAACATATTTTATAAGTTAAAATGGAATAATCTCCCTACATAAATCTTTCTCTATCTATATTAAAATTTGAATGTAAAATTTATAACTTTCTTAAGTTAAGCATTGGGAGCATAATTTTCATAATCTTAATAGCCTTCATTGAGATAAGGTACAATGGCCAATTGCACACATCTTCTCCTCTTATATACAACTCAAAAAAAGAAATTACCCATTGAGGTGGCTCAATAATTATAAACATAAAATTTCAAATTCAAGATTTTATATTTGAATCTTGAATTTGATAGGAATAAATTTGAAAAAAGAAGAAGACTATTCCATATTATATAGCTTCTTATCACATGCATCAATAAATAAATAAATAAATAAAACAACCCAAGCAAGAACAGTTATGCAGCAAAGAGAAATCCCTATTTTAACTCAGTATGGGCTGAACAGTATAACGCTCAGTTGGACTTGGACGTGCGATATTTTTGGACTAATTAGCTAAAGCCTAAGCTAGACCAAAGCGAAAAGTACTGGCTGAAAAGAAGGCCCAGGAAGATCTGCTAACGCAGTGATGCCCAATTGGCCGATTCAAATTTCAAGGCATGATTTTCATGTTGGGCTATAAATTACCTTGAGCCTATCATTCAAGGCTTGTTTCCTTGGAATCTGTTGTTTACAAGTGTAGCTCTACCATAAGTATTCCATTTTTTTTTTCTCGCCGTCAAGGGGTTGTAGAAGTGTTGTTTAAACAACGTTTTTGTAAAAGCATAAAAAACGTGAATTCATATAAAATAATCAGTAACAAATTTTGAAAATTTATATAAAAAATCAATTCATATAAAAAAATTTTATTTTATAATTCGGACTATTTTAGATTGTAAAATACTTTTTCGATTCTAAAAAGTAGAAACTCCATGTTTGTAATTAAATTTAATAAATTTTGATATTTAAATATGTAATAATTACTAAATATATATAAAAAAGAAAAACTCAAAATTAAAATCATGCTAAACAAAAACCTAAATAAATATTTATGGGGTAATGATATCCGAAAAACTTATTTTTATATTTTCTTTTGTAATTTTTATGTTCCTAAATAAGTAAATATATATAATATTATAAATTATAATAAAGTAAAAAAATTAATTAATAAAAAACATGTAAAGTCATTTAAAAAATTATTTTTCATATTTTCATTTTAAAAATTAACAAAAACTATATTCTAATCATTTTACATATTTTTGTAGTTCTTTATGACTCAAAATTTTGAACAGTTGGTAGGGGTGTGGGGTGAAAGAACCATTTTGGGTTCTTAACTTGAATGGTGGATAGCATGTGATGTGAAGAACCCTTTTTTTTTTCCTTTCTTTCTTCTTTTCAAACAGGTATAATTTGGCATTTACCCTTCGAATTAACTAATAACCTGTCAATTGACCATTCGAATCAACTGATAATTTATTAATTTAAAGTGTATTTTCCCTCCCCATAGAAACCCACTCCTTAACAATTTGTTCCAAAAAAAAAAAAAAAACAGGTATAATTTGAGGTAGAGAAATGAGAAATAGTATGGTGTTGTCTCGTCTGGGTGCATCTAATAATTTCCGTATGAGACCTGTGAATGTGATGTGACGTGAAGATCTATGTCTTCGCTTTATGGGGATATAAGGATCAAAGTTTTAAAAACCGAACCGGAGGTCAAACCGTTTTGACCTCCGGTTCCCGGTTTA